GCACTAACCCTCGAGTCAAAATGCGTGATTAAAACAAATATCCCAAAGGTAGTCAAGAAAAATCATCAAAATTCAGCTATAGGGTATTTTTTAATCACTGTGGAGGCTGAATTTGACCCAAGGATAGCCTGAGGGTTATATTCTCTGAGCCACAGGAAGCCAGTGCGGAGACCTGAAAACTGGACTTATATATGACATCTGCTCATCACGCTACACTGCCTGAAATAGTCCCCGGTACTGCAAATGTAGTAGTTGGACAAGAAAACCTAGGTTTAGCATTAATCTTAATAGAAACACCTGAAGGAGTCCTGTATACTGTATGTGTGTGATTCCTTTCTAGGAGAAATTGAAATCCACCTCAAGGACACGGACTTCCTTGGGAAAACTGTGGTGCACTTTGGAGAGAAAGAAACGGAAAACCACAAAACACTCTTTTTGATATGTCTGAAAGGTCTGAAATGAAACCGCCGCGCCGCTTTGATGTTGTGATATTAGCAGATAATGTGACGGCGTGTTCCAAAAGTCCTTTTTTCAGTCCAATTCCGAGTGAGAGGTCGCGTTGAGGGCCACAGGTGCACTGGGAAAACAACGCAAGGACTGAGAAAGGAATGCAAACCGATGTGGACAGAAATCGTATCTGGTCCTCACTCTCCTCTATTACCACGACAACACAATTTGCATTTGCCATTTTAGACGATGACTTGTTTTTCATTAGAGCTTTCGCCTCGAGGAGTTAACTTGCGATAGAAAAGGCTTTTACGCCGAGATAAACCTGATGACACACACAACACAGCCTTTAATATGCAGTGTGGGTAAATGTACCGGGAGGTGGTGTTGAAGAGAAAATGCGGGAAGAAAATTGTTCACTATTTAGAGCTAAAACAAAACAAACTACCACTCAACGCCTTGGCAACTTCAAACCCACACACTTCTCCTCAGCTTAGAGCGTCTTAAGGTTCGCAGCCTCGTGGAAAGAAAACAATACAGACAATGCACGGCGGCAGAGACTTCGACAGGGGGTAAAGAAGTTTGGAACAATGGGAAGTGTGTTGGAACGCATAAAAGGAGCTGGTCCTGTGTCTTCGTGGCTGTATGTTTTGTAATTGCAGATTTCAATTGAGCGGCAAAACACTCCAAGTTGTAAATAAAAAGCTGGGGTGCCTAAATTTCTGACCACCAAAATTAAACTATGAAATACATTACATTACATACATTTATGAAAAAATATGGGTCTAGATGTCTGCCCCAAGCAGCCGATTTAATGAGACAAGTTTTGTGTATCCATCAGGTCGACAACAAACAGAAGAAAATTTTTACTTGCTTATCTACACAAAAGAACACACACTCTATTCCAAAACAAAATATCTAACTTTAGCATAATAAAGAAGCAAGTCTAAAATCTTCAGCTGTAGCATAATAAAGAAAGTGATTTTACAGTATATTTGTATTTTTTATTTTTAATATACTGTGATTGTAATGCTATCTTGCTTTGTTCAGCACTTTGAGTTGCTTTGTGTATGAATTGTGCAATACAAATAAACTTTCCTTGCCAAGCCTAACATCTGTAACTTTTGCATTAATAAAGAAGCAAGTATAAAATCTGTAGCTTAAGCATAACAAAGAAGCAAGTATAAAATCTCCAACTTTAGCATAATACAGAAGCTAGTGTAAATCTATAGCTTTAGCATAATAAAGAAGCAAGTATACGATCTCTAGCTTTAGCATAAAAAAGAAGCTACTATACAATCACTAGCTTTAGCATAATAAAGCAGCAAGTCTAACATTTCTAGCTTCAGCATAATAATAAAGCAAGTATAAAATCTCCAAACTTAGCATACTAAAGAAGCAAGTCTAAAATATCTAGCTTTTGCATAATAAAGAAGCTATAGCATTTCGCATAATAAAAAAGAAAGTACAAGATCTCTAACTTTTCTCACACTGATCTATGTATAAATGCATTTCAGTTTGTCTCGATAAAGCTCCAGATGCTAAACTCTTGTCATCTAAGATTCTGACGGATTAGGACAGAATTACAGACACAAAGACACAAGAGGCGTGTGGCGCGGGACAAACAGATTACGGAGGCTTTTATGAGGCTAATCTCTCCCTGTTCAGATTCTGCTGTGATAAAACAGTAATCCTGCATCCTGAGGTGAGGCTACATGCACGGAGCTAAAGCACACGCCAGAGACAGACCATTTCTTTGGTGTTAATATAAAACAGAAATCGGTAAGAGTGTTGCAGAGGCAGAGGCATGTGTGGGTGTGTTGTTTTGTCACATGTGAAAACAGTACAGCACTTGTCCATCAACCAGCCATTTTTTTTCCCTTCCGCTCCTTTCTTTTTATGCTGCAGATGTGTGGACAATATGTACAACGGTTTTTTTTTTTCTCTTACACTCACATGCAGGCACCAGAAGTCTATACACAAGAGTTTCAACAAAGATTGCGTTCCATATCCATATCATTTCTCCCATAATCCGCTTCAGTCCTGGCCTCCGTCATTTGGCTCTGATTCTATCACTTCTGTCACATTTTTCTTGACGGATGTGTTTCTGATGGTTCGAGTCTTTAACGTTTGAACTGAGAAAATGAAGGATGGATGTCAGCCACTCGACGCCTCTCTCTCTTATTATCATTATTGTGCCATTAGTGAGACTCAGAGAGAAAGACCGGCTTTTGGCTTACCTAAAATTCTACAAAAATGACCAAGATTGAGGAAAAAAAAAATAGTAAAAAATCAAATCAATCAGAGGCCTAAACATCTTAGCAACATGTCTCTCCTTGTTATGGCATGAAGCTAACGCCGTCAGAACAAATGGCCATAAGGATTAGGGCTAAACTGGGTCTGGGCCTCTAGGTCTGGGTCTTTAGATCTGGGTCGCTAGGTCTAGGCCTCTATGTCTTGGACTCTAGGTCAAGGTTTCTGGGTCTAGGTCTGGGTCTCTAAGTCTGTGCCTCTAGACCTAGGTTTCTAGGTGGTCTCTATGTCTGGGACACTAGGTCAAGGTTTCTGGGTCGAGATCTCTATGTCTGGGGTTCTAAGTCTAGGGCTCTAAGTCTGGGTCTCTAGGTCTGGGTCTCTATGTATAGGTCTCGGGGTCTAGGCATCTATATCTGGGTCCCTAGGTTGAGGTTTCTGGGTCTAGATCTCTAGGTCGGGGCCTCTATGTCTGAGCCTGGGTCTGGGTATCTCGACCTCTGGGTTGTAACATTGTTAAAAAACCACATGATCGTTGTAAATACAGCTAAATAAAAAACCTGACTTCATAAAAGTCGGTTTCTTATAGAGAGTAAATGTGAAACTGGATAAAGCAGCGCAGATTGTTTTACAGAAAAAAAAGACAATGATCCGTTTGGAATTTACCCAAAACAACGTAGTTCTTTTTATCTAAACACAAACACAGTTTGTTTTTGAATTAACAAAAACACATTCCACACTTGGATCACGTCGTATTCTCAAAAAAAGGTTTTTTCATTCAACAGATATTTGAATAACAAAAAGGCAAACTTTATTGTATAACAAGCTCCAATCTGAAACGTGAGAAGAATCAAAAACACACATTTTTTTTCTGTTTTGGAGACTGAAAATGCGGTTCAGTTTAAAAAAATGTTAAGTTCTATTGAATGAAATTCAATATATTTTATATTGCCCTAAACCACAACACGGAACAAAGAATCAAATAGAATGAGTCTGGTGTGTGTGTGAATGGCTGATCAGAGGGGTCGATAGCACAGACGGGTTTCCACACTTCTGTCAGTGTGCCCTAGGGCAGCTGTGGCTACTGTGGAGTGAAAGAATAAAAACATGTGAAGTGTCTTTGAGTGTCCAAAAAAGCACTAAATAAAATCATGGATGTAAATTAACATCCATGGAAGTAACGCGATGATAGAAAACACACTGGTATTGGTTCAAAATGGGCAGAGACCATGTCCATAATTAAAGGATATTTTTGTACTACTGCAATTTGCAATACTAAAAAATAATAAGTAATAAGCGAGAATACATCTCAACACAAGATAAAATAAATAAATAGATTCATATTTTGACAGACGTTCACTAGTGTCAACATCTCACCATAGCCGCATTAGCTCCATGTATTGAATTGTGAGACACGGTAAACACTCGATTTATACATAAAAAAAACAAGGGAAAAGTACTGGCTTCTGCACATTGATAGAATGATGAGTTTAACCTTAACAAAAGTTGCTTAAAAGTGTTATGAAATCTCACACTGGTCTGTATTAAAGGGAATGCCATTTGTAAAAACCCTCGGTGTCATCTCCGGCTGCAGAAATAGACGCGACACATGACTCCGGGCTCGTACTAAATCGCGTGTCGCAGCTAAAAATGCAACCGATGAATTGGTCTGTGGCTAATGCTTAGAGATAATGATTTCTACAGCACTGGAGCCATTTGCATTTCTTATTCCACATCAGGAGAATGGAAGGAGGGCAAGTATAATTTGAGATATTTCTTTGTTTGTCACAACACTGTGTCTTAAAACAAATAACCTGTTGTGTAAGGTTTTTGTTGTTGGCTTTTAAAAGAGAAAAGATAAAATCCCTCGGTTGTAGCACAGATAAATACAACTGTTTTAACCTGAATTTGAATAATGTCGGAGAAGAAGCCTGTCTCACATTTTCAGGAAGACCATTAACAACCAGTCTGCTTAACTTAAGCGGCCCTCTAACTAAAATGTTTGGACACCCCTGGGCTATAGCATGTATTGGTGTCTAAAATCAGTCTCACAGTGAAAGTTACAATAAATACGCTTTAGAACAATATTATAATTTTCTGAGATTCACCAGTAAATTTACACAGCTTTAAGTGGTGGAAGGTTTCTGAACAAATCACCAACACTGACAAAATGACAAGAAAGTGATTATAAACTAATATTATCAACACATGGCTACAGCACACCGACCTCAACAGAGCTAGCATGATAAGCACATGTTAGCTCCAGCCTGTTAGCATGTTAGCATAACGAGGAGACTCACCTGCTTGACGTCGTAAGCGAACAGCACATACTTCAGGTCGGGGGAGAGCGAGTATTTATCCACGTTGAAGTTGATCTGGTGGAAAAAGACGCAGATTCGTTAATATAAAAGTCATTAGAGAGTTTGTTTTAACACGGAGAGGATCGGAGGGAACGACAGATGAATCATCCCTGGATCATCAGGCCTTTGTAGCGTGGGAACAACAACATTAGCTGGAGGAGAGCGTTAGCATCTGTCTCCGCAGAAAAAGTTAAAAAAGTGTGAGAAATGTTTAAGATCGTACGAAGAGCCAGCAGCAGAAAACATGAACATTGTTAATTCCAAGTAAGTTTTTACAGAGCCGATAGTTTAACACTGTGGAAGAGGCAGCTAATGATGCACTCCTGCTAATTACTTTGACAAATAATGATAATAATAATAATAATAATAATAATAATAAGGCATAATGCAAGCTACTGCTGCCGTGGGACTACTACAACTATTCTTGTTTAGCAATTACAATACATTTTATATCACAGTTGGAATGCATTCAACCGTAGCTATGTGTGTAAACAACCGGCTCAGTGTGGATTTAAACACAATATTATGTTGCATTGAGTCGGCACCAAGAAAACACAATACAACTTGTTTTTAAAGGTTTCTTCCTAATTTCACTTCCACATCATTCACACATGATCTGTGTCAGTACATCATGTATGATGAGGTGAGGGTGATGGGGTCAGGGTGAGGGTGATGGGGTCAGGGTGAGGGTAATGGGGTTAAGGTATGGATGAGGGTTATGGGGTTAGGGTGAGAGTGATGGGATCAGGGTGAGGGTGATGGGGTTAGGGTGAGGGGTTATGGGGTTATGGGGTTAGGGTGAGGGTAATGGGGTTAAGGTATGGATGAGGGTTATGGGGTTAGGGTGAGAGTGATGGGGGAGGGTGAGGGTGTGAGGGTAAGGGTGAGGGTGATGGGTTATCAGGGTGAAGGTGATGGGGTTAGAGTGAGGGTTCACTAGTTAGGACTTAATTACCTGTTAATTAGTGAGGGCTAATCTAAGTATTGCAGAACTTTCTGCTTAAAGTCATAAGACCGGCTTTTAGTCTCTGGATCTTAGCGTGTGGTCCCCTGCATTATTATTTAACACTTTCAGTTTTTTCGTTACTTATTTTATTGTACTGGTGTTTTAGCTTTTTTAATCATGAAAAGCTTATTTATAATGATGTTGTTTGCTTGTATTTAACTAGGATTTTGGGAACTGTCTGTTTGGAGAAAAATATAAATGTATATAGTAATGACATAAAAATAAAAACCTTAGCATGATACAGAAAGTTAAACTATACAGGAAACTCTGTAAGAAGACCTTATATATTTTATCTTATCCTAAATGTCATCGCATCAAAACACACTGATCATTTTTGTAACTTACAAAAGTGGTGTTGCTGAGCAGGACTTCTGTCTCGTTGGTCACGATGTTAAACTTGATGACGTGTCCATCGCTGTTTCTGTAGATCACCTCAGAGTCTGAGAAAACAACAAACACATGGAGTATTTTACTTTCAAAGGGAGAAGTTTTATAATGATCCAAGACTAGAAACTTTTCTCATTGAAAGTTTCAAACCCCAGGACGAGAAACTGCACCTAATGGGATCCACACCAAACAAACACAGAATCACTTCTGAATTTCAGAATTTCAAATCAATGTTTGTAATTGTGTTTCTCTCCCGACACAAAACAGCTGCATTTTTTAGATGAAATAGAAATATTGGTTGAAGATTCTAAACTCTCTTTGCTCCATTCATATTATTTTACAGGACTCTTGAAATCCAAACAAGCAAGCTTCTTCACAAAGACAAGTTCACATTAAAATAATTTGTCGGATCCATGACAGACACAAGGTTTTTTACCTTTAGTGCAACAATCCAGCAAAGGGAACACTAATACTATGTTCACAATACCCTGGGGGATTTCACTTTTTCTCATGACAAACACACGTTGATTCTCCAAACAGAAAAATAATTTCAAATGTAAATTGTGGACAAACTGATCTACAACATGCTGCAGATCTCCACTGCCGACCACCGCTCCCAGTGCAGAGGATTCTCACAGAGAAAGTTAAATAAAAGTTGTGAGAGAGAGAGAGATGTGTTTACAGACCTATACTTTGGTCCCGAAAACCAAATTAAGAAACATTTACAGCTATTCAACCATGAATATGTAGACTGCTCCACATGCACAATTCAGTTCCCTTCAGGAAAATCTAAGAATAGTGGTGATGATCCTGTACAGCACCTGTCCTCGTTCTACAGTCTGAGTCCCGGATCTACAGCCTCAGTCCTGGATCTACAGCCTCAGTCCTCATTCTATAGTCTGAGTCCTGGATCTACAGCCTCAGTCCTCGTTCTATAGTCTGAGTCCTGGATCTACAGCCTCAGTCCTCGTTCTATAGTCTGAGTCCTGGATCTACAGCCTCAGTCCTGGATCTACAGCCTCAGTCCTCGTTCTATAGTCTGAGTCCTGGATCTACAGCCTCAGTCCTGGATCTACAGCCTCAGTCCTCGTTCTATAGTCTGAGTCCTGGATCTACAGCCTCAGTCCTGGATCTACAGCCTCAGTCCTCGTTCTATAGTCTGAGTCCTGGATCTACAGCCTCAGTCCTGGATCTACAGCCTCAGTCCTCGTTCTATAGTCTGAGTCCTGGATCTACAGCCTCAGTCCTGGATCTACAGCCTCAGTCCTCGTTCTATAGTCTGAGTCCTGGATCTACAGTCTCAGTCCTGGATCTACAGCCTCAGTTCTCATTCTACAGTCTGAGTCCTGGATCTATAGCCCGTCGGTCCGTGTGGAGCGGTTCCCTCTCTTAACATGATTCTTCCCAGGTTTTTCACTTTTCTCCCACTGGGTTTTAGAGTTCCTCTGTGAACTGTGGTTACTTATAATCCAGGACACTCTATTTCTACTACATTCATGGACATTTATCAACATTCATGGACATTGGTCTCTCCCTATGGTCCAATACCTGTTTTTTATCATAGCATTTCTTGTGTTTGAACTGTTGGAACTGAATTGAAATGTACTCTTACCACTATCAGATGTGAAAACAATAAAAGTTCTCTTGTCTTACTTTGTACATTTGAACTGAATCCATGGCCTTTCTGTGTTGTTTCCGTGGATCTAACTTGTAATTTAATGTTGGGAAAATCTCCTGTAGCTTTATTTCCCCCGTCCAGGTGACCATGTGTCTGCTTGATGAACACTGCATCCATTACACTCAGTCCAACAGTCTCGGATGACAAAAAAAAGCCCTGGCATTGTGTCCATATGCTCCTCATTTCAGATCAGTTCCCAGTAAGCCGCGAACGTAACAGATGGAGGAAGAAAACAAAAGCTCCAGCCAAATTTCAGAACACCCATCGCGCAATTAAAACCCAAAACACGGCTTCAAACGTGGGGTCTCGCCACAAAGAGAGCAGATTGCGAACAGAGGCAGGTGTAATTTGTCATTTTTAGACAGAGGTAAGAAACCAGCGGCATATTTGAGAACTTACAACTTGTACGCATACTCTGTAATAAGAATTCGTCATGTTTGGTTTGGAGAATCTGCATAAGAACGTCACTTTGAATGAACTTTACAAGCATCGTTTCAATGGGAGATATTTGTAATTCACTTTTGCACAGACCTGAATCACAGCAGTCGTCTCAGAGGACTTTACAAACGTGTAGATTAGCCAACAACAGATCAGAGAGTTAAACAAGTAGAACACAAAAGGGAGAGCGATGACCACTGCCCATGAATGTCCTCAGACCCTCGTCCTCAGGGAGAAAGTTTGAGAAGAATGAGGCTGTAGATCCAGGGCTGAGGCTGTAGATCCAGGACTGAGGCTGTAGATCCAGGAATGAGGCTGTAGATCCAGGACTGAGGCTGTAGATCCAGGACTGAGGCTGTAGATCCAGGACTGAGGCTGTAGATCCAGGACTGAGGCTGTAGAACCAGGACTGAGGCTGTAGATACAGAACTGAGGCTGAAGATCCAGGACTGAGGCTGAAGACCGAGGACTGAAGCTGTAGATCCTTTGCCACTAACGGACCCCGTGGGGAGTAGCGCCACAGATGGAGGCTGCAGATCCAGGACTGAGGCTGTAGACCCAGGGTTTTAGCTGTAGACCAATAACTGAGGCTTTAGATCCATTTGAAAAACCATTCCCAACAAAACAATGAAATCTATCATGTAAATAGACGGTTAAAGAAATAAAACAGGTGCTAAATGTCACATGTAGCGTGTAACTTGTCGACTGTCAATATTTCGTGTCCAGTAATTGCAGAGCACTTGTAAACACCGGTGTTTTGCCCACTTCACTTAAGAGTCTTTATCTCATTATTGTTCTGATAACAACAGGTTACAGCTCTTTGTTTTTCACCTGAACGCACAAGTCAATAACAGTCAATAACAGACTTCAGCTGATGTCGACCTCCGCTTTTTTAATCAAAACATGTGAAATGCAAACGGGAGCGAATCCTCCTCAGAATGTAACAAAACTGGAAATAACATGGATTTTCAGTTAATTTGACCCAGAAGTTGGGCATTATATTTGACCTACAAAGGTAGGACCTACATTGGCTGGTGGAATTCAAGTAAATAATAGTGGAAATTTAGTAGATAGTTTAGTTAAACAGAATTCCAACTCTTTATTTTTAAGAGGGGTAGAAGAATATGAAATAATTAGTATTGTTAACAACTTTAAAAACAAAAGGTCAACGGACTGTCTTAACTTGGACATGACGTTGGTCAAGGAAATCATAAATTACATCAGCACACCCTTTACATTCATCTGCAATCAATCTTTCCGTACAGGTATTTTTCCTAGAAAAATGAAAACAGCAAAAGTAATTCCCATTTATAAAAGTGGTGATAAACATCTATTCACAAATTACAGACCTATCTCACTCCTCTCACAGTTCTCAAAAATCTTAGAAAAACTATTTGTTAACAGACTGGACAATTTTATTGAAAAATATCACTTGTTAAGTGACAATCAGTTTGGCTTTCGAACTAACAGATCTGCCACGATGGCGGTCATGGCTCTTGCTGAAGACGTTACTACTGCAATTGATAACAACGAACATACTGTAGGTGTTTTTATAGACTTAAGTAAGGCTTTTGACACCATAGACCACTCACTTCTTCTTCAGAAGCTTCACAGATACGGTATCCGGGGAATTGCTCACAATTGGGTGGAAAGTTACTTAAGTAAAAGAGACCAGTATGTCCATATAAATAATGTCAACTCAAATAAACAGCTCATAACACACGGAGTTCCACAAGGTTCAATTTTGGGACCTAAATTATTTATTATGTATATCAATGATGTCTGTGAGATATTGGATAAAGGTAAATGCCTATTGTATGCTGATGATACCAGCCTCTACTACTCTGGAAACAGTCTGCATGACATCATTGATATAGTTCAGCAAGAACTGACGATCCTAAAAGGATGGTTCGACCGTAACAAACTCTCCATGAACCTGACAAAAACAAAATATATAATATTTGGAAATAAAATAAATAACACTCAAATTAAACTGGAGATCAATGGCAAAGAAATAGAACAAGTAGATACAAACAAGTTCCTAGGAATTACTGTTGACGGAAAACTCAGCTGGAAGCAGCATTTATATAATCTTAAATTGAAATTGTCAAAAAATTTTGGAATTTTGGGTAAATTGAGACATGTTTTAAACCAAAAATCACGCCACCTGTTATACAACTCCCTTATTCTTCCCTATTTGAGTTACGGTGCTGAAATATGGGGAAACAATTACAGAACAAATATTGAACCAATTTTTCTACTTCAAAAGAAGGCCATACGAATTGTGTTTAAAACACACTACTACGCACCGACTAACCCTCTCTTTATCCAGTTAAGAACTTTAAAAATGTATGATATTGTTGATGCGAGTACACTGGCTGTGGTATACAGGGCTCAGCACAATAATCTTCCACCCAATATTCAAAATATGTTTGAACATAGAGATTGTAGTTACAATCTCAGAGGAACAGGGATTTTCAAAATAAATAAGGCAAGAACTAACAAAAAAAGCAGATGTGTCTCGGTCAGAGGAGTGAGACTATGGAACAACTTAGACGACGCAATCAAAAACTCCTACTCATTGAAGACGTTTAAAAATAATATTAAACATAATATTTTAAGTAATTACCAAGCCCAAGAATGATAGGTCTAGCAGCTCTCCTACATCTATATGACAGCCTTTTGCTGTTTGCTTTTGTTGTTAAAATATTAAAATGTGTTTTCTCAAATTATTTATATTTTTCCATCCTATTGTTTCTTTTTTTTTTATTAAAATGTTCTCCTGATCTTGACTTTTAGTTTGGCTTCTATTTTAAAAGGGTTTTTTCCCCATACTTTGGAGACTTTACTTAATGAATTGGATTAGGCAAAAATAAGTTATACTTCAGCCTAATCCCTTCGGTCACAACTGCGTTTGTAAATCTATGTGAAAGCATGTACATTACTGATATAAGATTCATTTTTTTGTAACCTTGTCCTCTTTTGATTGTCTTTTATGTCTAAATAATGATAATTTGTATGACCGAATAAACAAACAAACTAAAAAAAAAAAAAAAACATGAGTTGGGTTAAAATTCAATGGATTCTTCGGACCAAAAAGTAAAAAAAAAAAAGAAAAAAAACTCGCCTGGTCTTTCCACACAAATGTAATCATTTCATTTCAAGGTCTATATTTGCTCCATTGACTCCGTTAACAGGTGGGAGGGGTTAACTCCTTTTGCAGAATGAAACGTTTGGATCTGAGTTAAAGTGACTTATGTATAGCGCCTCAGTGAGTGAGACATTTAGCATTTAGCTTAGCTTTAGCCATCTCCTTTGCCACTAACGAAGCCCGTAGGGAGTAGAGCCACAACATCCTTGCCTCAATAACATTTGCTCAACATTCCTCTTGCTCCAGCTTCAATTTCTTGATATTTGGAGCTGAACCAGAACGGATTATTTTACATCAAATTTTCCGCCAAACTACAACCAGCAAATTCAGTGCAAACTCATGACGTCACAGACACCTCCCTACAACACCCGCCTCCCCCGCTCGCTGATTGGTCGGAGTGGGTTCAACCGAGGACATTGCAGCCACTAGGATCAGACCCAGACGTACATGTAGGAAATGATTTATCTCATGAACTAAAACGCTGTTGGGATGAATAATGTCTCTGGCGTGGTTTCCGTCTCCTGCAGTGACGTCTGCCATCGCAGCAGGATACGAGATGAATATTTAGGGCTAATAAAAAGTTCACATTTTTGTAATCTTTAAAACATTAGCGCAGGTCTTGCTTCACCCCGACTCTGCTCTTGTCCACTTAAATAATGGAAAATTGGCAGTGAAAAAGAGCAAGTTAAGACTGTAATGTTTAAGTAATGTGGAACGTCTGTAGAACGCTGAATTATGCAAACAGAAGACTTTCTTTTTTCATTCCAGGCGAGCGAGCAGAGAGCAGTAATAACCAGTGTTTGTGCTGCGTCTGCATAGTAGGAGAGAGAGTCATGTTTGAAGCCTTTTTCATATTTTACAGTGTTCCGTGATGTGGTTCACCCCATACATGTTATTTATAGAAGAAAAAGAACAATACGAACTAATTCAAGCATTTTACATCAGGAAGTATTATGTAAAGGACAGTGGTGATGTCATCTGTTTACTTCAGGGCAAAAATATTCAACCTTTCAACCCTCTTAGAATGAATGGAAAAGGATCAGGCCTAAATGAGCCAAAACCAAACAAAAGAGAGAGAAAAAAGTTATTGTTGGTGTGTTATAGTCGTCTTTTACAGTGTGTGTGTGTGTCAGTGTGTATCTGTGTGTGTGTGTGTGTGTGTGTCTGTCTGTCAGTGTGCATCTGTCTGCGTGTGTGTGTGTATGTGTGTGTGTGTGTGTGTGTGTCTGTCTGTCAGTGTGTATCTGTCTGTCTGTGTGTGTGTGTGTGTCTGTCAGTGTGTATATGTCTGTGTGTGTGTGTGTGTCTGTCTGTCTGTCAGTGTGTATCTGTGTGTGTGTATGAGTGGTAAAACATAATATACTTAAGTGTATTACAAGAGAGGTATTGCAATACAATTTCACAGTTTTAATACTGATGATGAATGGTAATATACAATAAAAAGGCGAGAAGTCCTGCCTAAACAAAATACTAAAACTTGGAGTCAAAATAATAAGTCCATAAACTGTGCTGCGCCACAACAGAAACACACATATTAGCCGCATCGCTATATTAGCCGCAGGGATCAAATAACTAGAAATATGTAGCGGGTTAAAGTCCAGAGATAAACACCTGCTTTAGACAGACCACACATAGACACAGGCAGAACATGCAAACTCCACACAAAGATGGCTCCTCTCATCACAATTCATATTCTTTATCAATTTTTATTCATTTATAGAGCGCTTTTTCTCCACAGGGAAAAACAAAGCTTCAGAAAACAGATCATAGTTAAAAACATTAAAACATGAAAAACCCACCAGGGAAAACAATAATAAATACCATAATTGCATCAAAAATCTTTCAGTTGTAGCACAAACAAACAAAGCCGTCTTTAACCTGGATTTGAACATTGTCAGAGTAGACGCCTCTCTCACAATTTCAGGAAGACTGTTCCAGATTTTAGCCACTTGTCCTGCTGTTACACTTATTTATGATATGAGCCAGTTTTGAGTGCCCTCTTTAAGACGACTCCTCATGACAGAGAAAACCATTTGACAAAAAAAAAAAAAAAAACTGCAGAGTTGTTTTTCTTCCTTTTCCAGTTGGCGAAGCTGTGTGTGTAGCCTGCTCTTACCTGTCACAGAGTCAGGTGTGCAAAGTTTTCTGCTTTCTCCAGCTGCATGAATCTGAAACGCTGCCTCCTCGTGTTTAGTCCTGACTCCGGAGATATTCTTCAACTGCAGTGACTTTAACAAACACAATTTCGCTCGTACAAATTTGTATTTATTCTTTATTCACCCACAACGCTACTTAGTCTGCGGTAAACACACAACATTAATTCCACTATACAACCACTACTGTAGCTGTGTATTATGGAGCTGTCCGTGGTGCTACTCAAGTGTTCCGTGCCCAATATAAAGTGTAGCAGCAGTGGAATCAGAATGCACCTTGTTTTCCACCTCTCATTTTCTCACTCATAATTACCGCATTCTGGAGAGTTATCTTTTGTTACAGTTTATATGAAGAAAAACATGTTGAGTGGCTGCGGAGGCATTTTAACAACCTGCTAAGAAATGTGCCAGCTCCAAATAGCGCTCTGACAGCTCTTTGTTGTTCAAAGTTATCCGCTCTATCAACAAGCACAGTCTGAAAGTAAGTGGCAAAGACACATATACAAAGACAATGCCCTGGGCTCTTTACAAACGCATCAGATTATGGAAGATAGAAGAGAAATGCAGGCGGACACTTCGACAAATGCACATATAATTACTGTGTCTTGAGAAGCGCTCCGGGGACAGATTGAGAAATATGAAAAATAGTAATAAATTGACAGTTTTAATGGTATCTTCCTTCAGACATGGCACATACACCAAGTAATTTCCAGTTTGAAAAGTTAAGATGATTTAGTCCTCAATGTTTGTTGTACAGTCTGACAGCTGCAATACCTCTCCTTCACACAGCGAGGGTGAATACGTCTTTCACTGAAGCTGCCGATTTATGGACATGTATGAACATTTATGGACAGTGGTCGTGCTTCTCCCTATGAACCACTGGCTGTTTGTTTGAGTCTCTGATCTGTTCGTCCCCAGAGACCTCTGTTGTTGGGATTTAGGGCAACACAAAAATAAATGTAATTGTACTAATGACGGCTCTTATTCTAACTACAGACACTAATGACAGTGGCGTTAATCATAGAGCAAATATTAGGAGAGGACTGACAGCACGTGACATGACCATAGTGTTAGCTGTATGCATTAGTGACATGTTCGTACCATATGAACCAGCCCGGACTCTGAGGAGCACAGGGACTGGACTCCTGTTAGTGCCCAGAGTCAGAACTAAACATGGGGAGGCTGCTTTTCAGATTCATGCTGCTAAAATCTGGAACAATCTTCCTGAAGATGTGAGACAGGCCTCCTCTCTGACAATGTTTAAAACCAGGTAAAAAACAGCTCTGTTTAGCACTCATACAACTGAGGGATTTTATATTTTTATCTGTATGAATGTATGAATTGTGCTATACAAATAAACTTGCCTTGCCTTGCCAGAAGAAGCATTAAGGAACAATAACGGAATAATAATGCATCAGTTTTATACAGTTCTTTTCAGGAGTCTCAAAGTCTCTTCACATCATTCAAGATGGCGCAAGATGGCGCCTCGTACGGTCGACATGGCTCTTTGCTGCTCTCTTTTTCTTTTGTTTTTACTTTTTAACTGTGCATCTGGCTGTTCCTACACCCGTGAGGAACTTATGAACATCCGACCCACCGTTCCCATGGACCTATTGCCTGTTTTCTTGGCATCTGCGGCTGATTTAGTTCATGTTCTAGCCAAAAAAGTGTGGGCCCGTAAAAGGGGAAAGCGAGGAGGCCTGCTCGTGCGTCTTAGGAGGAGAGGAGCGCGCACGGCTCTCCCCGGCATTTTTCTCTCCAACGTACGCTCACTGGGCAATAAGATGGACGAACTCAGCCTGCTCATGAGAAGAAACAAGGACTTCGCCACATCCTGTGTCCTCTGCTTCACTGAGACCTGGCTAAATGAGCGGATCCCGGACTGCGCTCTGGAGCTGCAGGGCTTTGGGCTGTTTCGCGCGGATCGCCATTGTGCGCTCTCAGGGAAGAGCAGAGGCGGAGGGCTCTGTTTCTACGTCAATACAAACTGGTGTAACGATGTGACAGTGATCTCCAAGCACTGCTCTCCTGCTCTGGAATATCTTTTCATTCATTGTAAACCATATTACTCCCCGCGGGAAATTGTTTCATTCATTCTTGCCTCTGTTTACATACCGCCATGCGCGGACGCGCGCGAGGCTCAGCGCGCACTCGCAGAGCAAGTACTGTGTATGGAACGCTTATACCCGGACTCTCTGATTATTATCCTGGGGGATTTTAATAAGGGAAACTTGAGCCAGGAATTACCCAAATACAGACAGTTTATCAAATGCCCGACCAGAGAGGAGAACACTTTGGATCACTGTTACACCACCGTGCGCGGAGCTTTTCGCGCTGTTCCCAAGCCAGCCCTCGGCTTCTCAGATCACTCCATGATACATCTGGTTCCTGCTTACAGACAGAGACTAAAGCTCTCGAAACCTGCAGTGAGGAGCTCCAAAGTGTGGTCTGATGAAGCTGTGGAAGAGCTGCGCGCATGCATGGAATCTACAGACTGGGACCTTTTCAGAGCTGCCACAGATAGTTTGGATGAATATACGGACACTGTAACGTCATACATCCACTTCTGTGAGGATAGCATCATTCCAACAAGGACCAGGGTCATCTATAACAACGACAAACCCTGGTTCACTGCTAAACTCCGGCAGCTCAGGAAAGCAAAGGAGTCTGCTTTCAGGGAGGGGGACCGCAGCGGCTACAAAGCAGCTAAATATCAGTTCAGGAAAGAACTGAAAGCAGCCAAGTCCCGGCACAGAGAACGACTACAGGAGCAGTTTGGTAACAACGATACTGCTTCTGTCTGGAGGGGCCTACGGGAGATCACCAACTACAAACCCAAAGCCCCCCCCTGTGCTGATGACCACAAGCTAGCTGACGATCTGAACTTATTTTTCAGTCGCTTTGATGCTGCCCCTGACACCTCTCCCTCCCCCACCCCCCACTACTCTAACGACCCACCCATCAGCCCTGCCCCTAGCCTAACAATAGCCGCTAAAGAGATTAAACAACTCTTCCTGAGGCTGCACCCCCGCAAAGCTCCTGGCCCGGACCACGTGTCTCCGGCCACTCTGAGACACTGCGCCAGTGAGCTTACTCCTGTGTTCACGGACATTTTCAACTCCTCTCTGCAGTCCTGCCATGTCCCGGCCTGCTTCAAATCCTCCATCATTGTCCCCGTCCCGAAGAAGCCCAGGATCACAGGACTCAATGACTACAGACCTGTAGCACTTACGTCTGTCGTCATGAAGTCATTTGAACGCCTGGTTCTCTCCCATCTCAAGTCCCTCACCTCCCCCCTCCTGGACCCCCTGCAGTTCGCCTACAGAGCCAACAGATCTGTAGACGACGCCATTAACCTGGCCCTCCACCACATCCTACAGCACCTGGACTCCCCGGGGACCTACGCCAGGGTCCTGTTCGTGGACTTCAGCTCTGCCTTCAACACAATCCTGCCATCCCTGCTCCAGGACAAGCTCTCCCAGCTCAACGTGCCCGATTCCACCTGCAGGTGGATCACTGACTTCCTGACGGACAGGAAGCAGCGAGTGCGTCTGGGGAAGAATGTCTCGGACTCTCGGATTATAAATACAGGAGCCCCACAGGGCTGTGTTCTTTCTCCCCTGCTCTTTTCCCTGTACACCAACCACTGCACCTCCAGCCACGACTCCGTGAAGCTGATCAAGTTCGCGGACGACACCACCCTCATTGGACTCATCTCCAACAACGATGAGTCCGCCTACAGGAGGGAGGTGGACCGGCTGGTGTCCTGGTGCAGTGGTAACAACCTGGAGCTGAACGCCCAGAAGACAGTGGAGATGATTGTGGACTTCAGGAAGAGCACTGTCCCCCCGCCCCCACCCTCCGTGATGGACTCCCCCATCACCTCTGTGGAGTCCTTCCGTTTCCTGGGCACCACCATCACCCAGGACCTCAAGTGGGAGCCGACCATCAGCTCTCTCATCAAGAAGGCCCAGCAGAGGATGTACTTCCTGCGGCAGCTCAGGAAAGCCAAGCTGCCTGCACAGATGTTGGTGCAGTTCTACACGGCCATCATCGAGTCCATCCTCACCTCCTCCATCACCGTGTGGTTCGCTGGAGCCACAGTCAGGGACAAACAGAGACTACAGCGCATTGTGCGCTCTGCAGAGGAAGTGATCGGCCGCAGCCTTCCATCGCTGCAGGACCTGTACGTCGCCCGAGCTCGAGGCCGGGCTGGTCGTATCACAGCCGACCCCTCTCACCCTGCACATGGACTATTCCAACCACTCCCCTCAGGCAGGAGGCTGCGGTCCATCAGGACTAGAACCTCCCGCCACAAGAACAGTTTCTTCCCCTCTGCTGTTGGACTCTTGAACACTTCTTAACCTGTCCCCCCGCCCTTTATAAAGTCACTTTACTGCCCATCATACGTCACTTTACTTCACTGTACTGCTGTCACCTTACATTGTGTGCACCATGTGCACTTGTATATTGTAAATAGTAACTGTAACTCTATTTTAAATTTAAATTTATTCTTTAGAAGTGTTTTTTATTCTTATTTTTATTATCTCTTTTTGACTGTTGCACTGAGCCAAAGCAATTTCCAAGTCTGTGACCTCCCGTTACTTACGTTGGCAATAAAAATGATTCTGATTCTGATTCTGATTCTGATCATCATTCTCTCACTCCAAACACGGTGGTGACATACTACCAATGTAGCCACAGCTGCCCTGGGGCACACTGACAAAAGCAAGGCAACCAGTCTGTGCTACTGTCCCCTCCCACCACCACCACCATTCACACACACACACCAGACTCATTCTAACGTGGGGGAAGTGTCTTGCCTAAGAACACAACCATAGTTTAACACTTTACAACCGCAGCCGCCCGACTCTGGCGCCTGCTGCTCCTAGAGGTCTCCCATCACAGCACTAACCAGGCCCTGCTTAGCTTCAGAAGTCTGACTGGTCCTGGCTCTCACCCGAAGTAGTGGCTATAAGCAAAAACGCTGCTATACAAATATGAGTTTTTATGCCTTTTTCTTCTCCCACAGGCTCGGGCCGATTCTGAGCCTTGGGCAAAATGTTGGACTTTCTTTGAGTTTCTTTGACAAAGACATAAACTCATAAAGTCATAATTTACTCCGTGATAGAGAAAGAAACAGCCCGATCTTGGAGAAGAGACCTGCGAGAACACGGCTGTGAGGAGCAACGCCAACGGGTCATTCATAAAACTGTCACATGCACATCTCAGAACTTTCAGCGTCTCTGAGTTACGGCTCCTGCTTCGTCTTTTCAGTGATTTAGGAGAAATTTTGATGGAGTTTTGAGAAAGCGCGAAGATTTACAGAGAAGGCCAAGCGATTTTCCCTCCAATTTGTCCCAAGGTTGAATGAATCGTACAGAAAACAGTCTCTATACGTTCAACAAAACAGACTCATCAAAGGTCCTCTCTTCATTCAGAGAAAATGTGCAATGTTTTTTTCATTTCTGCGTTCTTGAGTTTTTTTGCACATTCTTCCCCAATGTGTTTGATGCTGAAGAGAGAATTTTATTTTCTTTATATAAATGTATTTCTGTTTTCATTTATATTGTTATTAATCTTTTTTTAAGCATTTCTCTTTCTCTATCATTTCATGTATTTACTTTCTGTCTGTCTTATTTATTTGTGTATTTGTTCTGTTTGTGGTTATACTTTTGTGTTCTTGTTGAATGTTGTTTATCTGTTTTAATTTCTTTCATTAAAGCAAGAACAAAATTACAATATTAAAAAGATGAGCAGGTTTTTAGCACTGGAGTTTTCTTTCCAAAATACTTACAGGAAACGTTAAAGTCGATTAATGTGACTAAACTGCCCAAAAGGCCGTTTGTGTTCATTATTTATTTTAATTATCTGGAAGTCACACAAACATAACTAAATAAGTCTAAAATCTGAGGTAATGTTTGCTCAAATCTTATGTTTTCATCTCAAACACATTGTGACTGTGTTAAAACCAGATTCTCCAATAAGACAAAAACATTTAGTGATTTTTCAAGACGTTTTGCTTTATTTTCTCAATTCAAGGAAGAAATTTCTTTATATTTTTAAAAGATCATTTTGCTTTGTCCCATTGCGGAATGTGCTCAGATTATAATACATGTCACATTTGAGCAATTATTTCTCATTACTTATTTTTCATCCCTTTTTAGCTGTTAATCTGTCTCCACATTTTAAAATAAAAATGTGAATGTGTCAAAAACAGTTTTCAATGTTTCGAATGGTTTGAACTACAAGTAATTATTTTTTGGAGGTGAACATGTTTAAAGCCTTTTCAAATCCAGTGACACGGTTCAGAAAGAAACAAAATGGACAAAAACAGCAGCGATGGACTAATTGTGATTAACTGTGTATTTTTGTCATGAAGAGTTTTATAGTGTCCTCAGGATTTTTATAGTGTGCTCTACATTAGTTGTCCCTATATCGTCCTCACCTCACAGTACACCTGACTTGCAATCTTTGTTTTCTCTTTATTTTGCTTGCCTTTTTAACTGCACCAGACCATCTTTCTCAACCAGCCAAAGTAAACTTGTAGCTGATGCATCAGGGCATCGGCTTGTCCTTTAATCTGACACTTAAAGGACCTCAAAACAACACAGTTCTTCTTTGTCTTGCTCTCGACAGCATCAGCTCAGAAGCACAGAGCGTTCCCTGGAGACGTGACGATGCTGCAGGGGACGTGCGGCTCTCACAAGGGCCCTACGCTGTGGAAGTGTGCCCAGAAGAGCTGCTGTTCTCTGGGTAAGTGTGCGAGGACCGGCCCCTCTGTCTGGATCTTACACTGGGCACAGCCATGTCTGCCCTGTGGCGACGGAACAAACATTTTCATTAACTCAGGGTCCTTGCTGAGTTGCACAGGGAGAGGAGATGGAGGACATGGAGGAGATGGAGGGGGGAGAGAGGTAAGAGAGATGAAGAGAGTTCAATTTTTCCAATGGTTTGAACTAAAAGTAATCATGTTTTGGAGGTGAACATGTTTAAAGCCTTTTCAAATCCAATGACACGGTTCAGAAAGAAACAAAATGGACAAAAACAGCAGCAATGGACTGATTTTGATGTACTGTGTATTTTTCTCATGATGAGTTTTGTTGTGTCCTCATGAGTTGCATTGTGTGCTCAACATTAAAGGTCCCTATATTGTCCTCACAACACAGTGTATCTAATCGAGGCAGTACTTTAACATTTTACAATATGTTCATTATTGTCCAAGTGTTCTCACAGACAGTCACATTATACCTGACTAAATGAAAGTGTGTAAAGTGGTTTGCTCCAGAAGCAGACTCAGACCTGACCTCATGCCGACTCCATCTTATTCCCTCTGAAAATAGTGAACATCCCGATCCAATATGGCCGACGTTGCGACTCGCTGACCCGAGGAGGATGGAAGGAGATTGCTGCAGAGAGATTTTACATTCTTTGAGAGCGTGTCCTTGAAACTCAACTAGTTTAGGAAAAGATAGATTAGGTCCTACTTTTATATGTTGTGATTGGATAAACAATACTGCAAAAGGAGGACTTTAGAATGAGGACTTCAGAATGAGGACTTCAGAATGAGGACTTCAGAATGAGGACTTCAGAATGAGGACTTCAGAATGAGGACTTTAGAATGAGGACCCTAGAATGAGGACTTCAGAATGAGGACTTCAGAATGAGAACTTTAGAATGAGGACTTCAGAATGAGGACTTCAAATGCAGAGACAGAGACAGTTCCAGGAGACAGTGTTTGATACGTGCTTTGTCTGCCTGTACTTCTCAGAGTCCCAGCAGGAGGCCAGTCCCTGTGCTCCTCAGAGTCCCAGGCAGGAAGCCAGTCCCTGTGCTCCTCAGTGCCCCAGAGGTTGGATGTGGAGGCTGAAGCTGGATGTAGAGGCTGATGCTGAATGCAGAGGCTGGGGTTGTATAGAGGCTGAGGCAGAATGCAGAGGCTGGGGTTGTATAGAGGCTGAGGCAGAATGCAGAGGCTGAGGTTGGATGCAGAGGCTGAGGCCGGATGCAGAGGCTGGGGTTGGATATGGAAATGCAGACAGACTTATGAATAATTGAACAGAGGTTACGTAAAGCTCATTCCCTGAGGTCAGGAGTGTCACATTAGTTCAAAGTCAACAGCCACAGGACACAGAAAGAACCAGAGTCTCCATGTCTCTGAGTCTCTGAGTCTCTGAGGACAGAGCAGAGACCTGAGAGAACATACATGACATGGCGTTATAACAGCAGACATCAGTGGGAGCAGGTGACATGGGCCGTGGTGGGCGCAAACCCACGACCTATAGGTCCAAATGTTATAATTATTTTTTTGCAGAGTTTGAGTTTCTTACGATTAAGTTATTTTCCCCAAAATGTAGTTTTATTTTGCTCCAGAGTTATTCTCACTCAGACTGTGGAGGGAGTCGACGAGATGAGAACACAAACGAGATTAATGAGGAGGCATCATCACTATGACAGAGCTGCAACACACACACGCACAAACAGAGAGAGAGAAAGACACACACACACACACACACACACACACACACACACACACACACACACACACACACACACACACACGGACACACAGATACACACTCACACACAACTGGGATCTGTCTCCAGCATTTTTCATGTATGGATTAAATAATTATTTTCTTAAGATAATTTAATTTAGCTTCATGTGTGTGAATCGAAATGGGGCCAATGACAATGAAACAAAATGCACTTTTGAATGGATTTTACAATATGGTGATTGGAGGTTTGTGTTGTATTATTGATATTGTGATATAGTGTCAGCTGGTCGCCCTCATCCCCCTGGGAGCCTCTTTAGTCCTGGATCTACAGCCTCAGTCCTGGATCTACAGCCTCAGTCCTGGATCTACCGCCTCAGTCCTGGATCTACCGCCTCAGTCCTGGATCTACAGCCTCAGACCTGGATCTACCGCCTCAGTCCTGGATCTACAGCCTCAGTCCTGTTACTTTAAATGGCAGTAAAATCATTCTTATTCAGATTATTTTTCTTTAATTAGAATTTGTCAATCGATCAATCAAGTTTACTCTTACTTCAAACATTATTTGCCTTAGGGTAAAACAAGATTATTTTTTTGGTCAAAATGAATTGCAATCTTTGTTTTCTCTTTATTTTGCTGATGCATCAGGGCATCGGCTTGTCCTTTAATCTGACACTTAAAGGACCTCAAAACAACACAGTTCTTCTTTGTCTTGCTCTCGACAGCATCAGCTCAGAAGCACAGAGCGTTCCCTGGAGACGTGACGATGCTGCAGGGGACGTGCGGCTCTCACAAGGGCCCTACGCTGTGGAAGTGTGCCCAGAAGAGCTGCTGTTCTCTGGGTAAGTGTGCGAGGACCGGCCCCTCTGTCTGGATCTTACACTGGGCACAGCTGAGGCCGGATGCAGAGGCTGGGGTTGGATATGGAAATGCAGACAGACTTATGAATAATTGAACAGAGGTTACGTAAAGCTCATTCCCTGAGGTCAGGAGTGTCACATTAGTTCAAAGTCAACAGCCACAGGACACAGAAAGAACCAGAGTCTCCATGTCTCTGAGTCTCTGAGTCTCTGAGGACAGAGCAGAGACCTGAGAGAACATACATGACATGGCGTTATAACAGCAGACATCAGTGGGAGCAGGTGACATGGGCCGTGGTGGGCGCAAACCCACGACCTATAGGTCCAAATGTTATAATTATTTTTTTGCAGAGTTTGAGTTTCTTACGATTAAGTTATTTTCCCCAAAATGTAGTTTTATTTTGCTCCAGAGTTATTCTCACTCAGACTGTGGAGGGAGTCGACGAGATGAGAACACAAACGAGATTAATGAGGAGGCATCATCACTATGACAGAGCTGCAACACACACACGCAACAAACAGAGAGAGAGAAAGACACACACACACACACACACACACACACACACACACACACACACACACACACACACACACACGGACACACAGATACACACTCACACACAACTGGGATCTGTCTCCAGCATTTTTCATGTATGGATTAAATAATTATTTTCTTAAGATAATTTAATTTAGCTTCATGTGTGTGAATCGAAATGGGGCCAATGACAATGAAACAAAATGCACTTTTGAATGGATTTTACAATATGGTGATTGGAGGTTTGTGTTGTATTATTGATATTGTGATATAGTGTCAGCTGGTCGCCCTCATCCCCCTGGGAGCCTCTTTAGTCCTGGATCTACAGCCTCAGTCCTGGATCTACAGCCTCAGTCCTGGATCTACCGCCTCAGTCCTGGATCTACCGCCTCAGTCCTGGATCTACAGCCTCAGACCTGGATCTACCGCCTCAGTCCTGGATCTACAGCCTCAGTCCTGTTACTTTAAATGGCAGTAAAATCATTCTTATTCAGATTATTTTTCTTTAATTAGAATTTGTCAATCGATCAATCAAGTTTACTCTTACTTCAAACATTATTTGCCTTAGGGTAAAACAAGATTATTTTTTTGGTCAAAATGAATTGCAATCTTTGTTTTCTCTTTATTTTGCTGATGCATCAGGGCATCGGCTTGTCCTTTAATCTGACACTTAAAGGACCTCAAAACAACACAGTTCTTCTTTGTCTTGCTCTCGACAGCATCAGCTCAGAAGCACAGAGCGTTCCCTGGAGACGTGACGATGCTGCAGGGGACGTGCGGCTCTCACAAGGGCCCTACGCTGTGGAAGTGTGCCCAGAAGAGCTGCTGTTCTCTGGGTAAGTGTGCGAGGACCGGCCCCTCTGTCTGGATCTTACACTGGGCACAGCCATGTCTGCCCTGTGGCCACGGAACAAACATTTTCATTAACTCAGGGTCCTTGCTGAGTTGCACAGGGAGAGGAGATGGAGGACATGGAGGGGGGAGAGAGAGAAGAGAGAGAGGTGAGGGAGAGGTAAGAGAGAGGTAAGAGAGATAAAGAGAAGTGGGAGAGAGAGGTCAGAGAGAGAAGTAAGAGAGATGAAGGGAGGTAGTAGAGAGAGGTAAGGGAGAGAGAGATGGGAGGGAGAAGAGGGAGAGAGAGGTGAGAGAGAGGTAAGAGAAAGAGGTGAGGGAGAGAGAGATGGAAGAGAGAAGTGGGAGAGTGAGAGAGTGGGAGAGAGAGGTAAGAGAAAGAGTATAGAGAGAGGTGGGAGATAGAGAAATGGTAGAGAGAGATGTGGGAGAGAGAGGGGGAGAAGTGGGAGAGAGAGGTAAGAGAGAGAAATAGAGGTGGAAGATAGAAAGGTGGGGAGAGAGAGGTGAGAGAGAGAGCGGTGGGAGAGAGAGTGGTGGGAGAGAGAGGTGGGAGAGAGAGGTGGGAGAGAGAGGTGAGAGAGAGAGGTGAGAGAGAGAGTGGTGGGAGAGAGAGGTGGGAGAGAGAGAGGTGAGAGAGAGAGAGAGATACAGATGGTAACAGGTCAGTACCAAAGGCTTGTACTCATACTCGTTCCATGGTGATCTCCCAAAGTCAGCAGCTTAAGGCAGGAGCAGGAAGAGTGAAGCGGGTAAAGTATGTTGTGTACTAGCTGCAGAGTTTATAACCCTTGCTAAAATGTTTAATCGTTAAAGCATTTTCTTATTGTTGAAATGAGATATAAAACTTTTTTAAATTTCAGTAGTATTAGTTTTATGATTACCCAGAGGTAACACAATGCACTCAGTATTCGGTATCGGCAAGAACTCAAGCTCAAAAGGTACTTGTATCGGTTTTGAAAAAAGTGGAATCGGTGCATCCCTAGTATAAAGTGTGTAGTTATCAAACACAAAACCGTGCTAAACTCCGTGGTGCGGAATAGACTGAAGCAGCATAACAGCACTTTCACTTTCTGAACGAGGCGATGTTGACGTCCCGCAGTCAGAGGACTAACAAGTGTCGACGGCTGAAGCAGACAACAGCTCGGCCCAGTTAATGCACTGTACTTTTCTCGGTTCTAAAAGTGACTGATGGGCCGAGCCGCAGCCTGTAATCCTGCGTTTCCGCGGCAACAGCCTCTACCTAAAAAAACACTTTGAAGAAACAAAAAGCACACCAAAGCACTCAGAAGTGGTTTACTATGTTGGAAATGTTTGTTCCAGTTCTCGATCATGCAACACAAGCTGAAAGACACGTCGGTACCAAGGCAAGTTTATTTGTATAGCGCAGTTCGCACACAGGGGAACTCAAAGTGAAGAACAAGGCATTATCTCCATACATAATCGTACTGCGTAAAGCTTAAAACAACTATCATGCTAACAATGCACCTCCTGTTCACATGTTTTGACCGTACAAGAGCTCTGGAACTGGGTCATAAAGAGAACATGAGTTAGTAGTTATTTATATAGCGCCTTTCACAGGCCGAAGTCAAAAGAGCTTTACAATTGTTATATTTGTCTCTCACTCATAGTTTTAGTGGTAGGGGAAACCGGAGCACCAGGAGGAAACCTATGCAGACATGGGGAGAACATGCAAACTCCACACAGAAAGACCTGGATGTGGATGTGATTTGAAAAGATAAATATGGCAATCTAAAACTTTTCTTCATTATTATTTTTTATTTTCATTATTGGGTTTGTTTATGTGTAGGTGTGTGTACGTGTAGATATGTGTGTGTGTGTTTTATGTGTAGGTGTGTGTATGTATAGATAGATGTACTGTATGTGTGTATGTATAGATGTTTGTGTGTGTGTGTGTACGTGTATATATGTTTGTTTTTATGTGTAGGTGTATGTATGTATGTATGTGTGTATGTTTATGTGTAGGTGTGTGTATGTATAGATGTTTGTGTGTGTATGTGTATATATGTTTGTTTTTATGTGTAGGTGTATGTATGTACAGTATGTATGTATGTACAGTATGTGTGTATGTTTATGTGTAGGTGTGTGTATGTATAGATATATGTACTGTATGTGTGTATGTTTATGTGTAGGTGTGTGTATGTATGTATGTATGTGTGTATTTTTTATGTGTAGGTGTGTGTATGTATAGGTGTTTATATGTAGGTGTGTGTATGTATAGATGTGTGTGTGTACAGTATGTTTGTGTACACTTTATTCCGTGCAGGTGTTTTGGGGGAACAACATTGATACAGAGCAAACACACAATCTGTAAACATGTGACCCTTCAATAAACAAATACAAATGTTAGAATTATAAAAATGTTATAGTTTCTTTACAGACTTTTAAAGCAGAGGCTGCTCCAGATCACAGCACGAGGAGCACGAGGAGCACGAGGAGCACGAGGAGGCCTGATCTACAGCTCCACGCCACAGCGCACACAGGTCATAAAACCAGTCATAAAATCCGGCCGGCGACTTCGCAATTTCACCAGTAATTGTGCAGCAACCATCAACTCAACAATTACTTATTTATGTAGCACCGCACTGCATCATGGGAGAAGCAGTGTGTGTTCAGCCGAGACACAGCACGCTATGACCTGCAGCTGTTTTTGTTTGTGGCTTACATGTCAGACCTCTGAAGCTAAGCAGGGCAGGGCCTGGTAAGTGCTGTGATGGGAGACCTCTGGGTGCCACAGTGGGGCGGCTGCGGCTGTAAAGTTCCAATTTGTGGTTGTGTCTGTAGGCAAGACACTTCCCCCACATTGGAGTGAGTCTGGTGTGTGTGTGAATATTTGGTGGTGGGAGGGGCCAATGGCACAGACTGGTGTGCCCCAGGGCAGCTGTGGCTACAGTAGTAGTTTATCACCACTGTGTTTGGACTGAATGAATAATGATGTGAAGCGTCTTTGAACGTCCAGAAAAGCGCTGTTTACTCAAAACCCATTTCACCAACGGCTACAGAGAGTTCGGACCAATGGCAGCTGCGACAAAAGATTTTAAGTGAGGATAGGTTCTCCAAGAAACCAAATTGCAGTACTATCAATCTGTCCTGGTTCAGTTCAGCTTCAGATCACATCTTTACGCGGGGCATCATCACAAATCACTCTCATTATTTTCTGCTTCATTTTTTCATTTAAAGTCTTTTCTGTGTCATCTGAGACAAAAATCTTGTGTAAATAGAGCAACATGGATTCCACAAACCCTCTCCTTTGTTCTGATGTCACATCTGCTGACGTGCCCAATCCTCCGCCACATTAATTTCCACCTCTTAGTCACAGATTCTATTTACATTGAGCATTTATATTCATGTGAGACAATGCTTTACGATCACTTCAATTTGACGCATGTTTCAAAGCACTCTCTCACAAAGTAAATATGCAGATGTGCGGCTGTGCAGACGGACAGGTGGCTGAGACATGCTTCACGGCTCCACATTAATTATTTCACACTTGGTTTGCCAGAGCGGGTTCTCGAGGAGCCGTCGGTAAACAGGAGCGAGGCCAGTGAAGCCTGAGAGAAGGTAAACACCAGCAACTGACCGTGCTTTTATCACGCAGCCACAAAAGTCTAAAAAGTGTAGACAATAATGTGTACTTTGTACTTTGTTAAACCAAGACTTAAACCACGACACTGTCATTAACACCAGAGCTTTTTGTTGTGGAAGTGTATTTACTCTGTGTATGTTTATGGTTTCAGAATTTTGGTTTTTGTCATTATGAAATTATCTCGATCCTAGACTGATCCTGGTTCAGAGCAGCACATGTTCACTTGCAGCTGTTAGCGTTTTAGATTAGCTGTTTATTATGTATATTTACCTGTTTTATTGTGTATTAAAGATAATAACTGGTGAATTACTTTATTGTAATGAAACTTGTGAAAAACTAAAACTTTTTATTTTCAGAATTCCATTACTTAACCGTCAAAATGATTGCTTTGAGAGTTGTAAAAGTTTCAGAATTCAGGGAGTCCAGCTCAATTACTGAACCCAGCTGAATCCGGCCTCTTTCATCTACATGTATGGACATTCACTCACAAACACTCAGGGTAACCCGGAGGAAAACTATGTAGACACAGGGAGAACATGCAAACTCCACGCAAAAAGGACCAGTCTTGAGGTGGAATCAAACCCAGAACCTTCTTGCTGTGTCGCCCAATGAGATGGACCAACGAGACCAATGAGATTCAGCTTTATATATGTGCATCCAGGAAAGGTTTAAGCAAAGAGCAACTATTTGACTGGAAACAACATTTATAAAAAAGCAGTCAGAACAAATACGGACTAGTTTGGACAATTCAATTAAACATTCTACGTTGTTAAATCGTTAAAGATTTAAAAAGGAAAATCAGACTTAATGTTATGAACAGTTGCACAATAACTCTATAATAAAGGTCCAATATACCACATAAATAAAGTATAGCTCATAGTTGATACAACATGTAAGATAAAAAAAAAAAAAGAGAGAAACAGTTTATGTGGATGTTTGAGGTTCTTATTATTTTTATTTTAGGTGCCTTGCCCTCTGCAGGTGGGTGGAGAGGTCCTTCCTCAAGTGGAGGAGTTCAAGTATCTCGGGGTCTTGTTCACGAGTGAGGGGAGGATGGAGCGTGAGATTGACAGGCGGATCGGTGCAGCGTGCGCAGTGATGCGGTCGCTGTATCGGACCGTTGTGGTGAAGAGGGAGCTGAGCCGAAAGGCAAAGCTCTCGATTTACCGGTCAATCTTCGTTCCCTCCCTCACCTATGGTCATGAGCTTTGGGTAATGACCGAAAGAACGAGATTGCGGATACAAGCGGTCGAAATGAGCTTCCTCCGCAGAGTGGCTGGGCGCTCCCTTAGAGATAGGGTGAGGAGCTCGGTCACACGGGAGGAGCTCGGAGTAGAGCCGCTGCTTCGCCACGTCGAGAGGAACCAGTTGAGGTGGCTCG